AAAAAAAAAAAAAAAAAAAAGAAGAAGAAGAAGAAAAAGAGAGAAAGAGAAGCTCGAAACTTCCGGCTGGGAAGTTGCAGGTTGTACAATGAACAATGAAAGTTTCGATCCGCGAAACGTTGAAAAATGCATCAGCAGCGGAACCGATGCTTCCTTAATTTCGTATTCGCGGTGGCTACGGGTGTCATTACGTGTCTGCCAATAGCCACGTTGTCGTAAATCACTTATGGCTTTTGTGTATATCGCGTGCAAAGCCAAGGAAGCAGCTGCGCGAATTCCCAGGCTCTTTCCACGATCCGCCACGATGGTTGGTGCGGTTGGGTAGTAGAGCCGCTGGCTGCCGCGCCGGTGGCTACGTATGCAACTTCGAGACAAAAGAGGAGAACCGAAGAGAGAGGCTGAAAGGGCTGATGAGCAGGTGCCACTCTTCAATTTCAATCGTTTTACCGTACCGCTTAACCGTACTTTTTTTCCCTTCCTTTTCTTTTTTTTCACCCCCTTTCCCTTCCTTCCATTCCCCCATTTCCCTTTGCCCTTTTTTCATTTTTTTATTTTATTTTATTTATTTATTTTTTTCTTTTTTTTCTTTTTGGTTATACAAGATTTAATAAACTTATTCGGGCCGGAAGACCTTTTTCGGATTAACTCTCTCTGGCCACCCGGTCTTTTTTAATATTAATTCCCCTCCGGTCCGTGAATGGGAGGAGAAAAAAGAAGAAAGGGAGGGAGGGAAGTTTAATAAGGTGACTTGCAAATGATATAAAGATCTCCGGAGCCGAATTTCTTCGGATGATCGTTTTTTATATTCTGGTTAAGCTCGTTTATAATTGAAGTTCGTTTTTGCTAGGGAATTTTTTTTTGTCACTGCTCGAAAAATCGATTTCGTCCCTCGTGTTCTCGACTCAAGTTTTAGGGTGAAGAGATTTTGTTAATTTGGTTCCTAAGTATCAAATATTTTAATGGCAATAAAATTATTGTTTAGGGATTTTTTTTTTATTTTCGTTAGATTCTACTTTTTTTTCTAGATTTTCTTTTCGCGAATTTGGAATTGTGTGTAAGAATTGTATCTATGTAAAGTTGTACGATACATCATATAATGTAATTGTGTATGTAACATCCTTTATATTTATAACGTTAATAAATTATATATTAATAAATATTATAAATAATTACAATATATGATGTAAATATAACTTTTTTTCGTGTAATGATGATGACGTGTTAAAAACAAGCGATATTATGATATACAAGATCTTTCTTACTTACGCATGGCATTGATTCTGCAAAAAGTTAAATTCCTCTTTGATCCTATCGCAGGATTCTCCGACTGTGAATTTAATTTGTTGGCCGGGTTGCGGCGGACCCTGAAACAAATATATAAAGAAAACGTTAATAATCCAGCAATTAAATTAATGATCTTGTTATTTCTTTGTTCGATTTCTTAAACGGTTAACAGATGTTTGTCGAGTTATCCAATCAACAACGAACGATTGTTTTTTCCCTTACTCGATAATTCTTATTTTTCCTTCTCGATATATTTTATGGATAAACGTTGTTTGCGAATTTGTTAAAAAAAATATTAAATTTAATTTTATAATAAAACAAAATATCATCATTTCAAACGCCATTCTTAACGATAATTGCGAGTTAAACGCCAAAAAATATCGGATTTCACAGTAATAAACTATGGTTTAATTCGCGAAAGCTGGGAAATATAGCGGTTAGAATATCTAACTACATCGTGTATGATATTGCATTATAACGCAACAGCATGTAAAACACGAACAAACTTTGCAGTCTAAAGTTTACTTCTATTCGTGGCGCATGTTACGCGAAAACCACCGGCGCAAGATTGCATATCATTATCTTTTTACTCGATACACGATTCTCGTATGAAAATTAAAAACTGTAGTATCCGTTTTGGATGCTATTCGTTTCGTTTCTTAATTTACCTTTGTTGCCGTGATACGTTAAATCGATAAAAAAAAGCGTATATAATAATAAAATATCGTTGTAAGAACTGTATTACACAATCTAACAACTTACTTTCGAATTCTGTACAAATAAATTTCAAATTCGCATAATTTTTATACACTTTCATATTATTGCAACAGATGAACATTACGAATTAAAAAAATAACTTATCAACGATCAAAAAGTTTAAGTTTTTACAATCCTATATAACTTTACTGATTCCTTCCAACAAATAAGAAATAAATTAATTCCAACAATATCAAACACTCTCTTAAAACTCAAAAAACAAAATAAAAATTCCTTTTCGCATTTTTCCACTTGAAAACCTTCCCCCTTCCCTCCCCCCTCGTTAAATCCCACCAACATTCATCAAGACTCCGATTCCTCTCGGAGTTTCTTCTTCCCGATAAGTATATCCCGAGAGAAAAGAATTCGATACGCTC